CTGTAATATTCTTATCATCATAAAGTTATGTTTACATCTGTCAAATGGGGTGGAGTGACTTCTTGTCGTATCTACGGGTTTAACAGTTGTAAAATCTACTGACTTGTAATTTTAGAATGTTTCGTTAAAGTGTGCATTGGTTGAAATTTTTTTATAGAAAACTGTTCGCTGAGAGTTATAAGGCATTTATAAGGCATCACAGAAAGTTGATTTTACCCATCGACTCCATTAATACTTAGCTCTTTGCTACATTATGACCTAGTGCTGATTCAGTCTGAAGAGGCATGTGCAGATTTTCTTAAAATTACTAACAACTCTTAAGCCTTTTTCCTCCTTAGAGAATGACCAACGCACACTGCAGAATCACATCCCATTTCTACATACAGTATCTGGCAGGTTTATTGAAAAAAACAAAAAAAATTATAACTCCAATCTACTAACAGCAATGGGACCACTGCAATTCTCAGCTACATGAGGAAACAGAAGAGAAACCATCTGCATAAGGAACAGCCAGAACTTAGAATTCAGATCTTTCAGATTCAAAAGTCCTTCCTCTGCTCACCAGGGTTTTCAGCCCCAGCTACAGATGGGCATCACCTACGGGGCTTAAAAACAGAAAGTGAAAAATGAATGCCTTCCTTGTTCCCTCCCACTCCCCCCATCCTGGTGCATGTGATCTAGGAGGGGTCTCAGCCGGAGTTGAGGGCCCCTCATCACACCAGTCACGTTCTCATGTATGACTCTGTCCCACCAGTGTTATGTTAAAACAAAATGCTCTGATGAAGATTCTGTAAGATGAGAAACAAAAGTACAGTCTCAAAGATAATCTTGTCCCAAACAAGGGCAACGGGAGCTTTACAAGTTCTGTGGTTGAAGGACGGGTTACAGTAGTTCTAGTTTAGCCGACGTGGGTGATACTGGGCTCCTGACACAGGGTCATTTGAGGGGCAGCTAAAACAGGAAGTGGGCACGACCCCTCTGAAGCCCGGGGCCAGCACTGGCACACAGGAGCGCATTGCTCTAGGAGTTTGGGGGAAATGCACCTGCCAGTAAGGCACCTGGCCAATCAAAGCAAGGGGGGACCAAGCAGAGGCAGAAACGGTGCGTTCTCTGTGAGAAGTGCAGAGACAGTGAAGCTGGAGAGGCAAAGGGCCCCAGTGGGAAGATGCCCACCAAGACGGGAGACAGGAGGGGCCCCGAGGGCCCCACGGTTCCTGAACAGAAGAGGAAGGCGGCGGAAGCGGTGTTAGGGGAGGTGACTCCTGCCAACACGCAGGGTGCATAGGGCGTCTGCACGAGAGTTGGGAGAGTTGGGATACAGGGGCTGGAATACCAGGAGAAAGCAACCTGGCCCCGGGGCCCTGAGCAGAGCAGACCCCAGTGGGATCCAAAGCAGGGTATGGACAAAGGAAGAACCAAGTGGCCTGAGACTCTCCACCGAGGAGCTGGAGGGCCCGGGGTCACTGAGCATCAGGTGCAAGTGGCAGGGCCCGCCTACGGCCCGGGAAAACCGATTTCACCACACTGGGCAGAAAGATTCCTTTATCACCCCAAACTTCTTAACCTTAAAAAGTAAAACCGGGCTTCCCTGGTGGCACAGTTGTTGAGAGTCCGCCTGCCAATGCAGGGGACATGGGTTCGTGCCCCGGTCCGGGAAGATCCCACATACCGTGGAGTGGCTGGGCCCGTGAGCCATGGCCACTGAGCCTGTGCTCCCCAACGGGAGAGGCCACAACAGTGAGAGGCCCACGTACCGCAAAAAAAAAAAAAAAAAAGTAAAACCAAATGTTTCTTTACAAAGGCAAATTTTCAGAGAATAAAACATACTTCATGACCTAGAAGAAATACCATAAATAACAGTTTAAAAAGTAACCTAAGTATTATATGAAGAATGGGGTAAAACTAAATCTCCTAATTTAGCAAATTACCTTTCAAGCCAGCAATCCACTCAGCAGATGTTAGAGCAGCTACTCAAAGCTTAAAGCCATGAATTCTGAATTCCCAGGAAGGGGCGGTGGGAACCACGAGGCGCGTCCCTCCACCCGGCCCCCAACGCTCACAGGCCCATGCACACCACTTCCGGCAGCCGAGTGGTCACTGCAGGACAGGCAATCCACATCACTTTAGGAAACTTCCTCCCCAAAACTTGGTGTCAATCATCAGAGCCTCCACAGACGTGAAACAAATTTCAGTATTCTTTGAACGAAGTTCAGGCACAAAGGGGAAAACCAAAAGACTACTACAGCACGAGAGGAGATCTTTATAAAGAGTGTAACTGCTTTTATTACAATGGTGCAAGGTAGTATTTCATCGAACACTCACCAACAGCAAACCGGCATCTTCTATAAAACAATTCCAGAAAGTTCAAACAAGAAAATGAAAAGATACGTTGTCTATAATAATTCTCATACAACACTGCTTAGTGTTTAAACTTCCCATCGCTCCAATAAAGTGTAACCATTTCCTAGCAAACATGTGACCAAAAAAGTTTGCTCTGCTTTATTTTGTTTGCCTACAAACACATCAGAACATGCCTCACAATTAAAAATGTTTTATGACAACACTCCATGACATCGACGTCTACTCGTGCTCGCGATCAGCCAGTTGTACCAAATACCGTAAAATACAAAATGATAGGAAATATAAACATCAATTTGTATTTCAAGTTTATAACATTTTATTTACAAAAATAGTCTGGGAGGAAAGGGTTGAGAGCCCCATACTCTCCCCTGGGTGGGGAGCTATTTCGCGCCGTGTTCTAGGGTTTCCCGTAACAAATCTGAGTCGCAGCTGACTTCCTCCGGAATTGGACCTGTGGACTCGAAGCTCGGGGCGGGGGGGGGGCCCGGGCGCGGAGATGGCTTTGCTGGGCTGCCGGCACCACGGCGCGCGCGCTGTACAGGAGCCGGTCTCCTCCGGGTCTGAAGGACACCTGCGCACCTGCCGCGACACCACTGGAAGGGCGGTGTCAAAGCCGCCACTAAGACATGACTCCAAAGACGGGGTTGTGGCGGCAGATGCTGGGGCCGTACTCCTCGTAGCCCTTCTTGGTGTGACAGACCTGGAAGAACTCCGGCTGCGAGAGGCAACCAGCAGAAGGAGCATAAATGCTCCAGAAGGGAAATGAAACCAAGTCAACAACCAAGCAAATGAGAAACTCTCCTCACCCCAAACCTCCATCCTCTCCCTGATGGCCTCTGTCACAGATTCTGACCTCTTCAAAACGACAGCTTATTCCATTTTTTCCAAACTTATTCAGCTTCTATTTAGGAACAACTACGTGCTCGCCCTAAATCAGCAGTTCGTCAGCTAGTCCCAAATTTGAGGCAAGAAAGTAGTAATTACTCAGAAAAGTCACTGGAACTAATGATTAATGCAAGATGTTTTAGGTTATTTTTGGATTCTCTTATCCATATTCTCTGTAACCCCTAATTGGCAAGGATGCTTACGAATTAGCTGTGCAGTTTAAATGGTCATTAAAGTTATTTCTTCTATCTCAGAATGAAACGTGCGGCTGTTTAGAGCCACACACAATTAGAACACACATAATTTAACCTCCAAAAGACAGTATTTATTCAAACTCAGCAGAGAACACAGAGATGAAAAGATAGCAGCAAAAAAAAAAAAAAAAAAAAAAAGACAGCACAATCTAGAAAAGGACTTACAGTTGAGGCCAGCATCGAGCCTCCGAACCACACCGCATAGCGCTGCATATGATGCGTTATCACCTGGACCTCCACGGGCTTGGGCTGGAAGGGGAAGTGATGTGTGCTGACTCACCTGTGCAGATGCCCTTCCACACCCTGACGCCCTTCCACCTACTGGATGCGGCTCCACTCTGAGGGCCTCCTCCCATCCCGCAAGCCCTGACCTCAGGTTCAAGCACCTCTGCACTGCGCCCTGAAAGGAAGGTTCTCAGCCGCTCCTGCTGCCAAATCCACCTGGCCCCCAGCCCCCTCCCCACCCC